GAAAAAAATTCTTGGAGCAGGCAAAAAATAATATTTAAGGGTCTAATATTAATTAAATGCTATCATCATTGCTGAATCATTCTTGTCTTTATCATGTCTGTCCCAGCTCGGGTCTGGGAAAGCTCAGGACTTGGCTGAGGGCTAACTGGCAGCAACTCAACTCAGAGAGTACAGAGGTAATGTTGGTGGGGTTAGTGATAATAGAGGGAGCATGGCCACCATCTGTAACAGGTGCATAGCTTAGGCGAGATATTACACCCAGGGCTACTCAACAGAATGCTCATGCAGCAGCTATGGCCACGAGTGCATTATTTTTTCCCATCTGCTCCAGCAGGAATGCAGAACCCTGATACAATTATCTATGCCTTGCTCATGTTAAAATTAAACTGTTAGACTGTGCTCTGTATGGTGCTACACACTAAGACCATTCAGAAACTCAAGTTAGTGCAGAAAATACTGAGACATCAGTGCAACACAGAGGCGAGAGCAATGCAGGGAGAAAGGTAAGTTTTGCAGAGACCTGAAGATCTCTGTCCACTGAAGGGGCTCTGTTTTGGTCATTCATGGGGTGGTGACAGGCTCTAGAGAACACCAGATTTTTTTTCTTTTTCTTTTTGATAGAAAGGATAGCAAGATAAGTCTATGAACTAGACAGGGAAAGAGAAATCAGAGCTCACACTCTGGCGGGTATGGAGGTAGAAACAGAATCAGTCTCTCAGTTTAGGCCCTTCAGGACAAGTTTACTCATCCTGCAGATTCTAAGAGTAAAACAATTTTTCAAAATGTATATTTGATGAGCTTTTTTTCAACATTTAACCATTTTTTAAAGGGGAAGAAACATATTTTCCATGCTAGGAATCTCATGCTGCAGACAAAGGTGCTGTTCCTTCAGGGACTCATTTAGATTAACTCTTCTCTCTTGTAGCAGTCATTACCTCAAACCTTGCACTTTTATAATTAGGAGATAACGTCAATGGAAAAGAATGTTTTCACAAAATAATGGAACTCCTGATGCTAGAGAAATGTAGTGCTAAGATGTAAAAGTGTAAGAAGCTTACCTTGTGACTTTCTACTACAATCAGGTATTGAATCTTGAACCACTTATAATCTACTTCTCAATAATTATAGGATTCCAATGGACCATCATAACGGATTGAGCCAAAAATATATACTAGAATAATTCCAGGGCGTGCCAAGCAGCACCAGGGTGTCATTTTTCATCCAGCTGTGTGTCATGAAAGAATATTCTTACACAACAGCAATCATCAGTATCTCAGTGTGTATTTGATTTCTTCTCTTGGGGCCTGATCCAAATTCCACTAAAGGCCAATGGAAAAACTCATTGACTTTAATGGTAGGGGGATCAGGCCCTTAATTGGCACTGCTTCCTCTGTTTAAGGCTGCTAAGGTTTATTAATTCATCTCAGTCCAAATTACAGTTTGAGTCTTCTTTAAGCCTGTGAGTACTCCAAGTGAGCTAAAGTAAGACAGGTACTATATGCTTAGCTGGACCAGGGCCAGAGTGCTCAGCACCTTGCAGGATCATTTCATGCTGACCTGTGAAAGAAGGTGTATGTGTGTGTGGGGAGGGGAGGGGGTGAATGTGCCTGCTTGCTTTTTACTTACTTATAAGTATAAACGGACATCTGAATGATTTTTATTTATTTAGTGGGGGATTTGGTTTGATGTTTGAAGGGTTTCCCCCCCCACTGCTTTTTTATATTAAAATATCGAGCCTCATCTCCCCCTGTTTTTTTTTCCTGGAGATTCTACAGATACCTAGAAAACTAGCAGAAGAATTGACAAGCTTCAGGAACCTCGGTCAGTGACAGGAAAGATATTTTTACTCAGACTGTTTAAAACTCTTGGCTTAAGTTAAAAGCTATTAAGCTGAAAGTCTTCACAAAATTCATGGGAGAAAAATGACACACCAGACTCTAATGTTTCTAAAAATCAAAGGGGGCGCACAAACAAAATGTAATAATGTTTGTTCTTTTGGAGGTTATCTTTAAGAGCTAGGTTCCAATATATAATAGAAAGAAACTACTTACATTTGCACAGATTTTTTTATAGCGAATTTTTACTCTTCCTAAAGGTGTTGGACTGCCAGTCACGGAGGCACACCCTTGTGCTGTCTCCTTTACACAGGGTGTAAAAGCCAGAGTGGCATAAGCTCTGAAAACCTGATAGGATCCCCTCACAAGCCCTAGCAGAGAGGGCACACGGGGCAGGAAGGGTGTGTTGGGGTGGGGTGACAGCATGGAGTGCTGGGGACATTCCAGGGAGCACTGCAGCCCATAAGCTAGACCAAAGAGGTTGCTGTAACATAGGCTATATTTACACTTATGGTGGCGTGTAGAGTAAAGGCACTTCATGTGTAGCTACATACCGCAATGAAAGGCTCTGACAGCAGGGAGGCAGTGGGGAAGAGCTCTGGCAGGGGGACACAGCAGGGGACTACACTGCTAAAAACTGGAGCGGAGAGGCACTGCTTGGGCATGCAGAGAACCTGTGTAGGATATACACCCTAGGGTTTCCAGCGCGTATGGCACCCTACTCACCTATGCCATGCCTCAACGTATACACTGCTATTTACACCCAGGCTCGGTGGGCATGCAGCGTCCATAGTCTACACACTCACTAAGTGTAGATGTACCCTTAGACAGATCCCGAGCAATACATTGTGCCAGGTACCTCTTCAGGCCCCAGAACAGCCCAGGATTATGAAGGCACAAACGTGGCTTAGAACAACCAGAGCCCCACTCCCACTAGAGCTGCACCTAGTCGAGGCACAACAAAACAAGGACAGCACAGACAGAAGCAGCACAGGCTTCCCCAACCCCATTCTGCCAAGGGTGTCTCAGTCCTGAAGTGGAGGAACTACCTCTGAAAATAGTGCACTGCTTCCTGTGAAAACCTTGGCCTTTCTGGTCAGACAGCCGGAGGAGTCAATTGGGATAGTGATACTTATATGGGCATTTGTCCAGACTAATGGAGCTTTTAGTGCACACCACCAGAGTCCACACGGGCCTATTAGCGCACACAAGAAAGCACACCTCTCAGTGTAGAAAAAATCAGCCCTGCATAGTACATTGTAACTAAGAGGTCTGTTTCACAGTGGGTAGATCCACATGGAGAAAAAAAAACCATTAGAAAATGTCGTTAACTAACGTGAGGTTAAACACAACTTGGGCATTTAACTTGTCTTTGTCTAGGTTGTGTTTAAAAATGTGCTGTCTGGTCATAGTTAACCTCAGTGGGGGGTCCTCTATGGTTTACCCCAATCAGATACAACATTTAAAATGACAGCTGTCCTAGGGCACATTAAAGGCAGAACTGTCTTTAACACTGCTATTTTAAAGATGTTAGTGAACACGTTTTCTAATAAGATGCTTTTCCCCCCTCCACTACAGACAGGACCAATGTCAGTTGAATCATATGTCTCTGGTATTCCTTTGATTCTGCTCCATACCAATGCAACATATTGCTCCACTCCTCAAAGTTATCTAGGTAGGCTCTCCTCATTTTGTGAAAGCCCAGATCACACACACATTAATTAAACCATTTTCCGTCTATCTAGGTACTTATATGACCTCTTCCAACTTGTTTCACAGAATTTAGAGCTGCTGGGATGTGTCATTTGCCAGGATGAGATGGGTGAAGGTGAGTCCAGTCTCAGGTTACATGGGAGGACACCAGGAAGAAAGAAATAAAAATGTAAGGATACTTGCAGAGTGTATCATTGCACTGTAAGTTGTGTTTGCCAAAGATGTGATTCCTTTTTGGAAAGCTTTGTCACAACTGAAATTGCATACAGATTAGAACCACTTCTGTACAATAAACCCCATTAGCGAATATTTTGCCTTTAGAAGCATTATCACTGTAACCACAAGAGGCATTCATTCTCAGTGACTGTTGAATCTGGGCTGGTGCTTCATACTGTCATGAAGTATTTCCTGCCTGCTCTTTTATGAAGCCTTTGTGTCAAAGTTGTTCATATTGTTTTAATAGGAGATTTTTGATAAGTTGGAATCAGTTAAAAAGATTAATACATATTCTTCAGTAAATTTTAAAATTAAGAAAAGGCACTTTGATTAAAGCTTGTTTTGATCTCATAATGAGAACAAGTATGAGAATTTCCAGTTAATTTTGCTTTTGTCCATTTGAAATATAGAAAAGCTAAGGGCAGTGCAAAGGGAAACCAAAAATATCAACAGTCTTACAGCACAGAATGTGTACACTGCAGATTTGTTAATACAACAGCAAAGAAGAGGGATTTAAAAGGGAAGAGAGACTCGCTACACAGCTGTGAATAGCATGCACTGAGGAAACATGCTCCAGATTTTGAGCTGCATGCTTCAGGTTCCACGTGATCAAAACAGAGTGATGTTGAGACACAGCAATGAATTTTCTTTATTGTCAGTAGATTTCAACAGATTCCATCATTTTGAGAAAGATTTTTTTTTTCTATCCGAACAAGCCAGCAGCAGCAGATAGACACAGAATGCAAAATTTGTTGATGCAAAAGAAATATGCTTTAGAAGAGAAGATTTTTTTTTTTTTTTGCCATAGGAGAATATTTTAAACCTTCAGTCTCCACTATCAACCAATCAGCATTCATCTGCTGTATTATTGGCAAGACAGAAAACTGAAGTGAAGAGATCTTTTAGCTGGCACTTCTTGATATTGTGGTACATTAGGCAACAATGCAAGACTTTTAGACCCCTTACCCCTCATGTGTTCATATTCCTCTCTCTACAGACAGGATAAAGTATATAGTAATTTACTTTTAACTCCCCAAGAAATCGCCAAGAAATAAACAGTGTGTAATTTTTTTTAAACTCAGTTCAATTATAAAAAATGAAGTGTTTACTGAATTGCACAGTCCAAATTTAAAGGATCATTCATGCACTGATCCTGTGATGGTGAAAGGCCAAATAAAAGATCCATGAAAAGGAGTTAAATTAGAAAGCAACCAACTGGCATAGCTTAATTCTTACCTTGGCTGTTTTTTTCACGAGTTGACATTTTTGCTGGTTATGGGACAGAAATAAAATAACTTAAAACTATTTCTGAAGTCCCACCTCCCTGGCGTGAAAACTATGTTACACAAGGGCAATGTTTTCTATTTTATTTTTAAACAAGCAAGCATATTTTTATTATATATATATATGAAATAATTAACCACTTCTTATATTTCTATGTTTTACAAAAGCAATACAAAATATTCCTCTTCTACAGGGCCCTGAGGTCACAAAAAAACCTCCCACTGATTTCAAAGAGCTTTGCATCGGGCACTAGATCTTTTAGCAACAATCAACTGAATTAACCCTTGGAGTAACTATTACCATTACGTAAATTCTAAATCAGTGCTTCATAAAGATATTTCATAATGACTTGGTTGTTTCCATTGGGAGAATATTCAATTAGCAACATTAAATCTCTCCAATTACCCCAATATTTAAAAACAAATGTTTTCACTTACCTTGGCTGACAATGACATCTTTGTGTCTGGGGAAAAAATCACAAAATATAGAATTAGTGTATTAGTTATAATACTAATACTACCTAGCTTCTGTACAGTCCCACATTATGCTCAGTCTTACCACCTCTTCAAAAAAACAACCACCAAAAACCTGGATTCACAAAAAGAACTATATAAGTTCATGGAGGATAGGAGTATCAATGGCTGTTGGCCAAGATGGTCAAGAATGTTAACCCCATTCTCAGGGTGACTCTAAACCTCTGACTGCCAGAAGCCTCTTCTGTACACTCTCCCTGAAGCTCTAGTGCTGGCCACTGTTGGAGGCATGATACTGACCTAGATGGATCATAGGTCTGATCCAATATGAAAGTTCTTATGTTCCTATGAAAACTTGGGGATAAGATGTTAGATAACCAATCCTAACCAATACAGTAAAACCCCCAACTTTTGTCTCTTGTCTTATACTTTGATAGTCCCTATCCCCAAAGGGCTTACAATCTTTTTGTTCTATGTTTGTTGTGTGACTAGCATAACTGAGGTTCCTAGGAGCTACTGCAGTACAAATAAATAATACTAATAAAATACTAAAATCATATTAGCATTTGTATATGGGAAACTGGCTTTTAGATAGCAAAAAACAAAACAAAACCATAAAAAGCCTAATTTTTGGAGCTGAAGAGCACATTTAGCTTGCATTCAAGGTTCTCAGCACCTGTGAAAAATCAAGCATGAGGTGACTAGCACATAATGATTATAAGTTCTTTTGAATAATTATCCAAGAGCTTGTATCAGTGTGACTATTAATGTCAGAAAACGTGATGCTAATACTATGTCTCACTGCAAGTCAACTTTACCACAATCCCTCACAGGATCTCTAGATAAACAGTACTAGGTCTGCTGAGGGGGACACAAAATAAGTTTTCATAAGTGCTGACTTGTTAGACTACACTCAAGGAAGCGCCATGCATGAAAAAAAACCCTCAATTTTTTTCAGAAGATGGGAGGAAAACTTAAATTTCCTTATAATAACCTCCTCTTAAAGGTGTCTTGCTTGTTAAAGAGCACTTATTTCACGAAAACTGTCAACTGACTTGAAGCTGAGTAGCAAAATGGAGGTCAAATACTTGTATGGAGGTCAAACATCTATAACAGTGATAGACAGTCAAACATACACATATATAGAGTTCTCACTGACTGCTGGTTCAATCACCCTTATTCTGGCTGCCAAATGGCAGAGTCCAGACTTGGATTCCCAGTTCTGATTTAAGACAACTGGCTAAGGTGACAGTTGCTCTACTTCCTGCTATTTTATTGGGATGATATATAGCATGACACTGGCTTTAAAACTGTTCCTAATAAACAAAATTCAAAATCTGGGTCTAGAGTCCAAAGCATGTATAAAGCGATTTTTATCCAGGACCCAAGTTAGGGCTGGATCCCTGTTTCCTCACACAGAAAATGGGTTGGTTCTGATGCATTTTGGGCCTTTGCAACTTCCCCTAATTAATAATCTTAAATACAATAAGCAAAATGCTGCCCTCTGATGCATGCACACAAGCCAACTGATTCAACAGGAGTTGGGCATGCATTTCCAAGGGCATATTTGTAAAAAGTTAGTATTTACATGTCCTTCTCTCCACTTCTCCTCCCTTACCCTCCTCAACCCGGGGTGTCTTTACAATGAATTTCAGTGCAGAGACAAGTGAATGATAAGATACTTTTGTAAAGAATATAGTACACAGTCTTCAAGTGAGATGATGGTAAAATGTTTTCACAACTTTTGAAGCTTCACTTTCATTAAGTATTTCAGGCTAAACAATGACCTGAAGATGCACTCAGATGATTGTTTTTCTCCAACAATTATTAATCCTAATCCTTCCGGCCCCCATTTAATCCATAATCACTGAAAAGTATAATTTTTTCTTATTCTAGGGAAATACTGTAGAAGTGGAATAATTGAAGCATTTCAAAGGATAAGTAGCATATCATAAAAAAAAAGACAAAACATCTGACTATATGCCTGAACTACTGCACAAATTCAAAATGCCTGGAAAGAGCAACCATTTTTTATTCTTAATAATTTTAAATATGTCTACTGTGATTACGCTGTTTTAACAGCAATAATTGAAAAAAGGAACTTGATAAGCTGAAATAAAGCCAGAGGATTTAGCTAGAGAGTTTTTCAGTCTTTAAATAGCTTTTATCAGTATCCAGCAACAGCCTGAATTGCCAGAGGAATTTAGAAAAGGGAAGAAAATTGTGTGCAGAATGTCTAAACCATAATCCTTAGTGCACACTACTTCAGTGTATTACAGAATTCTCCAGTCTAGGTATAAAGCTGTGACTAAATGTACGTATTGCTGTCAGGTCAGATTAGCATAATATTGTGGTCCCCCTTTCAATTTTAAGTTTTGCACTGGTCTTGAGAATCTGTATAAAAACAACCTATTTTACATTATTAATACATTCATTAATGCCAGCAGATTTGAATTTTATTTTTTAATTTCATTTAAAAATTCAGAACTTATTTTAATGATAACCTCCCTGTATTTCATCAGTATTTTTACCTTTATTTACATATATGATTTTGCAGCTTCATTCAAAGCAATTCTATTTAAGCCACCTTTACAGTTAATTAGATCTACAGTGAAGTTACTGTGTAAAAAGGCACCTTTTTACTGAAGACATCTGCTCCCTGTGTGCATTCAGAGTTGTATTTGTTTATACCACAGAACAAAATGTTACTCCTTGTTCTTTGTTAGCATTGCAAAGCCAACACAGCTAAGCTTTATGCCCTATTATGTATGATCAATACCATTTTAAAAAAACCCACTAAATTCTGAGGCCCTGACTCTGCAAACACATATACACATGCTTAACCTTACTACCGTTTGAGTTTGATGGGACTACTTGCAGTAGTAAAAGTAAGCATGTGCATAAGTGTTTGCATGATCAGGGCCTAAATCAATCAAACTTCTGCAAACCCACTAAAAATGAAGAGAGTAGCACAGATGTATCCGAGAGTATAATTTGGCCTTTATGCCTGGTGATATTGCTCAAGAAGGAAAAAGACCTGTTTTACTTTTCAGGCTGAGTTTGCAGAATGGGCCATGAGGAAAAAAAAATCTTTACTTGTAAATTGAGCATATTTGAAATATGGAAACATGGAACCTCACAATGCCATTTTAAAGTTACTTTTAAGTATAAAACTGCAGCTTAACACAAATCCAGAAAAGACACAACTGAATTTACAATGAAATAAAAACTGTGTCTGAAACCTTAACATTTCAAAATTTATTTTTAAATAAAGAAAAGAGAAGTGGAGAAAACTTACAGAATCATAGAAATGTAGGATTGGAAGGAACCTTGACAAGTCATCTAGCTTAGTCCCTTGTGCTAAGGCAGTACTAAAAAATATTAACTAGACCATCCCTGATAGGTGTTTGCCTAACCTGTTCTTAAAAACCTCCAATGACAGAGATTCCACAATCTGTCTAGGTAATTTATTCCAGTGCTTAACTACCCTTACAGTAGAAAGTTTTTCCTAATGTCTAATCTAAAGCTCCATTGCTGCAATTTAAGCCCATTACTTCTCGTCCCGTCCTCAGTGGCTGAGGAGAACAATTTATCACTCTCCTCTTTATAACAAAAAGAAAAGGAGTACTTGTGGCACCTTAGAGACTAACCAATTTATTTGAGCATGAGCTTTCGTGGCTCACGAAAGCTCATGCTCAAATAAATTGGTTAGTCTCTAAGGTGCCACAAGTACTCCTTTTCTTTTTGCGAATACAGACTAACACGGCTGTTCCTCTGAAACCTCTCTTTATAACAACATTTTATGTATTTGAGGACTGTTATGTCCCCTCTCAGTCTTCTCTTCTCCAGATTAAACAAACCCAGTTTTTTCAATCTTCCCTTACAGGGCATGTTTTCTAGACCTTTGATCATTGATGTTGCTCTCCTCTGGAGTCTCCAATTTGTCCACATCTTTCCTGAAGTGTGGTTCCCAAAACTGGACATTACACTCCAGTTCAGGCCTTATTAATGCAGATTAGAGTGGAAGAATTACTTCTCATGTCTAGTTTACAACACCCCTGATAATACATCCCAGAATGATGTTTGCGTTTTTTGCAACAGTGTTACACTGTTGACTCATATTTAGTTTGTAATCCACTATAACCCCAGATCACCTTCTGCAGTACTTCTTCTAGGCCAGGGGTTCTCAAACTGGGGGTCGGGACCCCTCAGGGGGTCACAAGGTTATTACATGGGGGGTCGCGAGCTGTCGGCCTTCACCCCAAACTCTGCTTTGCCTCCAGCATTTATAATGGTGTTAAATATATAAAAAAGTGTTTTTAATTTATAAGTGGGGTTGCACTCAGGTGCTTGCTATGTGAAAGGGGTCACCAGTACAAAAGTTTGAGAACCGCTGTTCTAGGCAATCATTTCCAAGTGGGGAAATTTGTACATGAATGACAGTGGGCCTTCATATGCATGCATAATTTGTAAAATCCAAACATGTAGCAGTGGAAGCATATTCATGCTTTAAAATAATACATCTACATTTTGCAGGGATTTTAAGATTCTCTGGAGATTTCCTTGCATTAGAGAGGTGAATAGTCAGATTATGCAGACATCATCTACAAAACATTAACAATGCAAACTGACAGTTTACAAAATTTGCTTATGTAATAAAATTAAAACAATTTAATTTGAGGGTTTTTATTCTTAAAACTTGCAGATACCACTTTGCTACAAACTGCAATACTTACTTCTCTGCATTTTTTGCCACTTTTGATATGAGTTTTGATGTTGAAGCTGCCCTCAACAGTTTATTACGACTGTCATCTGAGTTGTCCCACATGCTATGTGATTTTTCAGCAGTCGAAGTTCGCTTTATGCTAAAAAACACAAAATTTACGTTTAAAATTAAAAATTAATGAGATAACGATAGCTGGTGCTGGTATGCAATTGACAGATCAAGCAGCAGGAGACTAAAGCAGTGCTAGGACTTCCTTCAAGTTGATCCAGAAAACAGAAATAAAGATTAGTCAAAAAGTTCTAACCAGATGAGTGAAAGCTCAATGGCCATTGAACACAATAAAACATTTTGAATGCTGAGCTGTTTTGTCAGCACATAGATAGGGCACAATTCCATAAGAAGCATTCTGAGGTGGCAAGTTCCAAACCCTGTAAGCCACTGACTGTTTGGAAGCAAATAGCTCCAAAACAATGGGCCAAAATCCTGCTTCCTTTGTTCATGCACAACATTCCATTCACTTCTCTGAGACTTCTTAGAGAGGAATAAGGCAAGCAGGATTTGGCCCAATATCATGGAAAATTAGACCCATGAATGTCTGATAGACTACATCAGCAATCCTGCTGGAGCCAAATTTATGCTAATGGCAGTTCAAAACTGTTTTGTAGTCACTGGTTTCACTGAAGTTAATTTCATGTATAATATCTTTATCATAGGAAATTTGTTTAAATGTGGTCTGGCTATAACAGTTATTAAATAACCTGAATTATGATTCTGCAGATGCCCTGCCAACAACCTTGCAACTCATCCAGTCAAAAATACTTTTTGCAAGAACAACATTCAAAACTGCAACTCTAGAAAGGCAAGCTTATTTCCACAGTATCTCAAGAAGCTGAAAAAAGACGATGACAAGTTATCAAGACATATTAAAATATTAAGAAAGACTTAAAAGCCATCCCCTTACCACTCCCCCACCAGGTAATAAATTAGTATGCTAAACCCAGGCACAAAAAGTCTCTTTGCAGTAAGATGCCAGGCAGGAGAACAACAAACCAAAGTTCAGCTTTAGATTTTGTAAGAGTTTGTGCAAGACATGGAGACACAGCCTTTATGAGTGTTAAACATGCATCAGTCAAGTGAAAGGGTTGTTTTTATTTTCTATTAGAATTGTGAATTCAGGCAACACAAGCCAACATATGTTTGTAAACCAGCGCAAATTTGAGAGTATAATTCATTTGTTATTGTTATTGTTTGTTTTAGTCTTCTAAAATGCCAAGTGGTCCGAGAAAGAATTCCATACCTTCCCAAGGTTTCAAAATAATAAAGGTGACAATGGATCATAACAAACTAGGTGTGAACTTGAACATTTTTGCTCTAAAATAACCAGCCAAATTTTAAAATGGGTTTATTTGAAAAATATTCAATTTTAAAAATCAAAGAGCATCATCCTGCAGATGTTCTCTGCACTTAACTCCCACTGAAATCAGCAAGAATTCTGTATGTGCAAGGTTGCAGGATCAGGCCCTAAACAAATCCCTCCCGTCCCCTTCCCCCGGTCAAATCGCAGTTTAATATTGGTGTAGAAATATGACACCAAACATGTCTGTAGAATAAGAATCCAAATATCAGGTGAAATGGACCATTCTGTAACCAAGCAGGGATATGAGAAAAAAGCAAAAGATCCAAACTGCAGTCGCATTAAACAGTAGTTTGGGAAGAAAGGCACCCGAGTCAAAGGTTGTAATGATACTAGTTTATGACAAGTGCTATTATGATATGTGGTAAATAGCACAAGATATGGTTCACAGTTTTAGTTGGCCATGTTTAACATAATACCTTGAAAAGCATACTTTCAGTGATATTACTTCTTGGCACCTTTTTATATATTTTAATAAGATTGTAATTAATCTCTCTTTATCATATTAGGATGTTTTATATCCTGTGTACTTTGCAATGTCTTAATTCTATTTTTCTCATCTTTAAATTTATGGAAGAAATATTTGCATTTTTAATCTTTATTTAGTGGTAAATGTTGTAATGCATCTTGTGTGCAACTTTGCAGCATAAAAAATACTGATTTTTGCACTCAATTGTGAAACTGGATCTTGGTTTCTCAAGATTTGCTGTTAAACGTGGACTCTTAGTATCATTACAACCATTTTCTAGCTCTGTACTTTGGTACTGTGAAAACCTTTTAGCTGGAGCAGAGCTCTTGCTTTCTTGAGTTTGCCTGTGTGTTTGGAGAGTCTGTAAGGAGGACTGGGGAGAAGGTGATGCTCGAATTTGTGGATTTTGATCATTAGAATGAGTTTCCTCTTTTTTTTCTCTCTGTCCTTGAGGTTTTTCCTTTTTTTCTGTACCGCTGTAAAAAAAAGTATAAGATGGAACAATAGAGAATAAGCAAATAATTTGAAGGTGAAAAAAATGCACACATTTTATCAGAGAAGGAAGAAGCAATTCAAAATTCATTAAAGAAAAATCACCATAAGAAAATGTGTGGTTATCTACTGATTTTGTTGGGTTTTGTTAATGAAATTATTAGTAAAGTACTTTGCTAAAAGCAAAGATCAAACAGTTGAAGAGAGTTTCCTGTCAAGTACTAAGAAATATTATTATATTACTTGGAAAAGTAGCGAAGGTTTATCGCTGTTTTAGGTTCATTACTTACCCCTTCCCATTTAAACCTGAACACAGCTCCTTTCAATTTAAAATATGCACTGTATCCTAGGTTCTGCTGTATCTCTCTCTGCAGATTGTTGTGTTTGCTTTGTCCCTCCTAGCCTTCCATTGTTAGCAATAAAATGCATTCACTGGTTCTGGGTCTCTCCAGAAATAGATTAACTAAATGTGCCATGTACCAAAGCAGCTACTGGGTACACCTTTTTTGGTCCTATTTGGCCATAACAGATATTAAATGGTCAAACTGTCACTTTTTCAACACCTGTTGTAAATAAACTATGAGATTACAATTCCCTCACTTTTAACAATGTAATGGAGCATAATCTTTGTTGTTTTAACATTTTAAATCCCTTTAAATAATTTTAAGTGGCAATTTTAAAATGTTCTTATTCATGAAGGCCCTGGTCCAAAGTCCACTGAAGTCAATAGCAAGACTCCTATTGCTATCACTGATATATGGACCCAGCCTCAACATGGCTAGTTTTGTGCATATTCTCATATGTACATGTTTATGTGGCAAGCTGATGGCTAGTTACCACATTTGTGCACAAACAGAATTAACAGTCACTATTTGAAAATGTGACTCTCTAATGTAGATGTCCTGCACTAGTTCAGGTCCCCATGATCTGTTGTGCTGTGATGTGGGAAAAGGAGCAAAGCAACACCAAGGAGCAGAAGTGTCCCGGAGCCATGTAAAAGGGCAAGCAGAGTCTTTGTAGAATGCTCACCCTTTTTCCAAGCCTGGGGAAGTCCCTCAAGTGGTTAGCACTTTATTGGACTTGGGGAAATATGTTGGGGTAGAATGGGGGAGCAGCCTCTCCAGCCAGCACTTCACAGGAAATGAACCTCTTCTCTTGCATCCCCTGTCCCCTCTTCAAATGTGTGTGTATGTCCCCTTACGGGCAAACGCTGCTGGTGCAAAGAGAGAGGATGAACTGAATTGAGGAGAGGACTGGACCACCATACTGGAATCCAGAGACTTTGGAGGCCATGTTTTCTAACTCCTCAACAATGTCTCAAATCTCTCTGTTTTGAGAGTAGAATTCACCTAAATTCTGAGAGTTTAAACTAGGATGGATCTTTCACTCCTGCAGGTTTCTCCCCATAGCAAAAGAATACAGTCCTGAAATGGCCAACAATACATTCTTTAAAGTACAAAGAATACTGAGAGGATCAGAGTTAACAGACCAATTATACAATCCCCATTTAACTGAGAATTTACTCTTGCCATGTGACTTATTTCAAGTACATTGCTGCATGCTTCCTGTGACATGCTGAAGCAAACACACAATGGCAAGACAAGCTGCTCAAGGTAGTAGTATTCTGCAGCATATAGATGTTTTCTTCCTTTAATTATACTCAAGGTGGACTGTTAAATGTTACAGGAATTTGAAGTCTGACTAAATTTTTCACATGCCATAAAACAAAATAAGCAGCAAGAAAAAAGGTTACCATTCCCCTGCCTCTAATTTTGTCTGGTATTCCCTCTCTCAAGTTAAAAGTAATCTACAAATTAAAAAAATAAAGCTTATACATCCTAGAGAAGCAAAATAGGTACAAAGAAGAGATGAAATGTTTTTTCCCCTATCTCCAACTGAAAAAAAAAAAAAAAAAAAAAAGGAGGGTGTTTTTTTCCTGCTTGTTTTACTAAATTAGAAATTCTGGACTCATCTACCTTTCCCCACAAAAGACACTCTGCAAACAGAATCCGGATGGAATGGAAAACTAGTACAAACCATGGAAACAGAATCTAAGTGAAAGTGGAGATGATTTTTATTCAGCCCATCTAAAACACTGGTTTTAATTTGTTTTTGTTAATCGCTATTTAACTCAAATTCATTAAGTGCAGATGGAGAAAAAGCTGTCTTTGTTCAAGATTCAACATCTCATCCCTCTAATTAAGGGCTCAAAGTTCCCAACCCATTTCTCTGAATCCTTTTGGGGAAAACTGCAGTAAAAAGCAGGGGATAAAAGACAGGATATTCCTGATGGTTTCAATATAAAAAAAATACATATTTATAATCATTCAGGGATATGTCATACATCATAAAGCAGCAAGAAAGGGCACAGCCGACAATTTTTTTTTGAGAGAGAGTTTCCTTCAATTTAACTTGTCAAGGCATATTTTGTTTTAAAGGAAGTCACTAGAAGAGAAATTAAAATAGAAATGTGCTTGTTTTGAAGGCAGTTATGAAACACGCAACAGTATTTTTTCACTTTCAGTGAAGATACGCTTGTGATTGGCTCCTGAGATAAGAGCATGATGACTTTTGATGGGTTGGCAGATAAACTTGTGGTCTCAAGTCCCTGTTCAACTGGAACTCTGGAAGCCATTTTTTGTTTGCATTAGGTTTAGCTTGCATTACTGGAAACAAGAGTACTTTGAACAACTTTCACCTTTTTCCAAAGTCTCTGACAGGAAAATGGAGTACAGAAAAACAAGCCCTAGCAATGTCTTACCACTAAAGCAAATAACAGGCTCTTATTACAATTATGAAAGCTGTACTTTGTACTCATAATCCTGTATGGCCAATTTACTTATTAACAATGATGCTTGTCATAACCTCTTCTTTCCCTTTCCTACAATGAAAGGGAGACTGAGTGAGTCCAACTACCAGGAAGCAAGGCGTTAAAAAGAGAGAGAGAGAGAGGGTCACTCAGGAAGACACACACAAACAAGCATTTCCCCTAGCTCTCTAGTCAAGAAACCAACAAAATACACACAGTTGTGTTATGAAGTATATGTGGAGGAGAGTGGAAGCAGGATGGAAGAGAGAACTGTGACAAAGATAAATTCCAACTTGTGAATTCTCTCTTCTTCTCCCAGACTACAACAAACCAGAAACTGGAGTGAGGATGTGACCTTACCTGAAGTCTGACATTTTAAGATTATACTTAACTGAAGTCATTCTTTGGAGAACACTCAATCTAAATGAAACTGTGCCACATTAATCCATAGACTCTTTTATAAAGTGTCCAAAATAAACCACAATGGCTAATGAGTGAACAGCTAGTCATCTGCAGAGCAGTCCTTATGCAACACCAAAATGTGAACACATTTCAGATCCTGGTGACCTCCAACCTGCTTTTGACAATCCACAGCTCTTTCCATCAGGAACTCGTGGCCTTCAGTCAGACCAGAAGGCTGAATCTCCCCAAAATGTTCAAAGGGAAATGGTCCTTAACGAAGGATATCTATAGTCCTACAGAAACATTCCGGTGACCTGAGAACCAGGTACACGTGGCTAAGAGGGGTCAAATAAAATCACCTTTGCTCTGACCTGTCAGGTTTTGCAGAGAATTTAATGAACTGGGAAAAGGGACAGGAAAGCATAACCCAGGTCTCCTCTTCCATTCATCAAAAATACTCTCCCTATAGCAAAGGGATAGAGAAACAGAGAAAAATCAGGTTGATTTTGCAGAATTCCTGGTGACATGCTAGTCCTAAGAGATGACCCAGATGCCGACATACAGAATGGAAAATCTCCAGATTCAGGCACCGTTCCCCTGGGATCAATCCCACGGATCTGAGCCAATCTTTGCCCTGTAAATAGACTGCCCTAACAGAAGCCAGAATTATATATGACACTGAGAATATCCAGGCTCAGGTTTTCAAAGGAACCAGGTTCCCAAATCCCTTGGTGCCTCTAAAAATACTCATGCAGTGCTTCTGAAATTATGGCTGAATTTTTAGCATCCCACCTGTGGGATGATGTAAGAGACTGCTGTACAGCTGTTGAACCATGACAGAACCAGAAGGCCGCTAAGTAACAGTTTGCAAATATAAGATTTGGTTTCACTGTCCTCAGTTCAACAAGTTGATGCTGCATGAGCACTTTAAGGGGAAAATTTCCACTGAAGGCAAAGGGGCCTGAATGACATTCTCTAACCCCAAAAGTCTGTGTTGCAATTATACAAACCTGAGCTGTCGGGGTGAGTAAACCTTAGACTCAGAAGGATATTGCTGTACCAATAATAAAACAAGGAGTGAAACATCCAGAAAATGGAGATTCCTTTACACAACCAAAAGAACTTCTGATCAAGCTATACTCCAGGAAGCCTGGTCTACACAGGCAATCAAGTAGTCTAAGAAATGTGTGATGTGAAGACAGGCTGAGATTAATAGCCCTCCTGGAGGTAAAACTGCAGAGAAGACAGACAGTCTGTTTGGATACATGGAAGCCTTCCCAGTATGTATCTAGGATCATACTCACATAGAGTAATATCCTGGAAGGATACAGATGGGCTTTCTCCCCAACCAATAACAAATGTATGATCCTATAGCAACCAGGTAACCTTTCTCTCATCTGGACAAGCTGTGTCACAGAGCCCATGGAACCTTCATCCAGATTATCTGTAGTCTTGATGAAGTGGTATATGTCCAAGATTCCCCTAGGCAATTTCATAGAGCTCCCGGTGACATGGAGGGAGGAGATGCAGGAGTGATTCTTTCCCCCACAAGGTCTTGGGTCTGACATTCTCTCTGATTCTTCTCAAACTCTCTTTTCCTTCCTTCCTTCCGGCCAGCCATCTGTCCATCCATCTTCTTCCCTTAGGTTTGGCTCCATTAAAAGCTATAAAGAAAAGGAGTACTTGTGGCACCTTAGAGACTAACCAAAGGTGCCACAAGTACTCCTTTTCTTTTTGCGAATACAGACGAACACGGCTGTTACTCTGAAACCTGTCATTAAAAGCTATGTTGACATAGCTAGTCTCTTCCCGTGTCTCCTTTTTTCGCTTTGAGCAGGGGGTGGAAGGGACGAGCTGGGAAGGAAGTATGAAAGAGAGGGCAGACACCCAGGCTCCATACTTCCAGGACAAAATTAATGGGGAAGTGCTAGCTCATATATACCTTCCCAAGTGACTCTCTCTTTTACAGCTCCTGGCTTTCCAATAGATAGAGATGTCAGTGTTCAATTCATTGTAGGATAGGGGAAGTCAGACTTTCAAAAACTAAGACACTACATGACTGAGAATAGAAAAAAGCAAATTAATTCTGCTTTCTGTACTCAAAAGAGCCTTAAACATTTTCTGCTTCGCTCTTCCTGTTTAATTGTTTTACTGATTAAAGGCAGAAGAAAAGGTAAGTGGCCTAGGTTTACATACAATATCTTTAATCCCTAAAATATACTGCATCCCTGTCTAATTGTATAGCACAATATTTAAATCCACACTGAATCATAAATCATCCACTGAAGTCAGCACAGTACTCTACAGAGACCGAGAACTTTTCACATATAATTGAACAGATGGTAAAACATTTACGTGTGCTGTGTTCCATAGCTGTATCTGTGGCAGCTCTTTCTTTCATTCTCTCCAACAAACAGGAGCAGAAACAAACCATTCCTCCGAGATGCTGAAAAATGAGTGGTTAAAAGTCCCAGAAGAAAACAATAAATAAGAAAACACTTCGCTGGTTTCTGACACCACTGTATGAAAAAAAATCAATTATATATATATTAGATACTAAATAAAATGCAAATTCAAGCTATTTTATTTTTACAAAATTTGTTTTGTAAAATCCTGCAACAAGAAATTTCTTAAATTTGAAATGTGCCATATAAAGTTATAAAGAATCGATTAACACACGTTCCTAAATTCACCTAACTCATTTCATAATTTTCACTTTGGTATCATCTACTATTTTCATTCAAGACCATGTCAGATTTGTTGTTTATTTCCTTTCAAAGATTAAAAAATTCAGGCGCATGCTAAAAAGCATGACTGTCTGTCCAAGTGGCTCATTTCAATTTTGGAACAAAAATGCCTATTAGAAATATGTTTTTTTCCTCTTTTTGCGAAAATTTAATTTCATGTGTTGTACACTGAAAACCAAAGTGATCCCCTTTCTATATATCCAGCTGTTACGAATTCTAATGGTATGCTATGAGTCTAAATCCTATTCTTTAATTGGTATATTTCAGAAAACTTCAAAATTAACACAGAAAGGGGCTTCCTTATTGTGGTTGTGTATAATTTAACTTTTTAAGAAGCCAGTACCTTTTAGCAGCAGATGAGAGGGTCTCTTTTCTGGCAATTGATACAGAGGAACTATGGCCTGTTTTTCTGCTTCCTGCACTTCCATTGGTTATACAGGACATAGAGATAGCTTCTCGGAGGCCTGGCTGACCTACAAGAAATTTAAGAAGAAGAGATTTTATAGTAGCTTTCAAGGCATCCACGTGACATTCAAATTAAGAACCATAACAGGTGGGGTTGGCTTTCATACAGCATTGTTGCTGGCATTCAAGACAAAGGATGTGTGTATTAATCCAAAAATCGCGTTCTGAAGTCATTTAAAACTTTAAGAGAAGACCGTAGGAACAAGAACAATTCATATGCAGTGTGTATATGAACACCCTCATGTGGGTGGGTAAGTGGATGGATAGGTAGATAAAGATTTATTGTCAAACATTCACACCAAACCAATAAACATCTAGTTTTTGCAAAGAAATACTGTGTTTTGGTAGTTCAACAATTTGTTTAAGCTAGGAATAAAGTTTATCTGACATGAAACTATTAACCAAAAATATGTTCACATACACATCTGGCTAATGAAACAGCACTTTAACGGCCAAAACTAAGGATGTTTGTACATAGGAGGATTCTTTTGTGGAATTCAAAAATGGAAACATTAGAAGTGATATTTTAAATTGCAAAGTGGAGTAACTCAAATGGGACGTTACAGTCAAATGGTAAATTATAATACAATACTCTGGCACAGTATCGTCCTAAGCTTCACTTGCCACAGAATTATTTTAGTCGTGATTGCAACAGAAATATAAATTCCTTGTGCAGCAGCATTCTGTTGCTCAAAAAGCTGAGTCATCTTAAATCATCACATTTCCCAGAAGCTCATCTGGTAGGCTCTCTCATCATTATCACCCCTTCATAAAGTGCTTTGTGATAAGAAGTATGAAGGAACCAGAAAGATAGCATGTCATTACTGAAATACAATGTACTTCAAACCATTCCCATTAGGTAAATATTGAAGATACTATATGCAAATAAATGTACATTTAGAGTGGAAAATCCTGTGTAAGGGGAGGGGGCACAACACAACTCTTTTGGGGCTTCCTACGCCTTGTGAACACAAGGTAAGGTAAGGAGCCCAAGGTTGGTAAAGACCACAGCATTTACTGCTACACAAAACTTCTTGTCCCAGGGTGGGGTTCCAGGGCCAAGACAGCTATTTTAGCTATAACTGTCTTGAAGAGGCTTGACTTCTACCAAGTATACAACTGAATTACTCAGGCTGTGGCCTGGGAAGAGGATTTTGTGTTATTACTTCATAGTGCCATCAGCACACACAAGGCTGTATTACAAGTGAGCTGTAGCAACCATGAGGTATGAAGTCCCAGGCCATTATAAACAGAATGGCACAATACACACCAAGGTACATTGCCAGGAGGTCCTTATAATGGGCAGGGAGGGTAGCACTGTCCATTGAAGTAGCCCGACACTTCCCATCATAAGACCCTGTTTTCAGCTGCTTATAACTAAGGCTACGGTTTAGTCATGGGTATTTTTAGTAAAAGTCACAGACAGGTCATGGGCCGTAAACAAAAGTTCACGGCCTGTGACCTCTCCATGACTTTTACTAAAAATAACAGTGAATAAAACTTGGAGGGGGCAGCTGCCCAGGGCCTCCGTGGGTGTTTGGGGGATGGCAGCCCAGCTGCTTGGCGGGGAGGCGTGGAGCCAGGCAGGGAGTTTGGGTGTGGGAGAGAGCAGGGGGTTGAGACACAGGATAGGGGGAGGCGGGCTCTGGGTGGGGCTTAGCTGGGGGGGCTCCCCGGAAGCAGCGACATCCACCTCCCTCAGCTGCTAGGCGGAGGCATGGCCAGGCAGCTCTGCGCACTGCCTCCACCTGCAGGCACCACCCCCACAGCTCCTATTGGCCATGGTTCCCAGCCAATGGCAGCTGCGAAGCCGGCGCTCTGGGCAGAGGCAGCGTGCAGAGGTGCCTGACCACGCCTCCACCTAACAACTGAGCAAGGGGGATGTCGCCGCTTCCAGGGAGCCCCCCAGGTAAGCACTGCCCAGAGCCTCCTCACCCTGGCCAGTGCCCCAATCCCTTGCCCTGTTGGATCATATTAAAGAAGTTCTGTATTAAAATCACAAATGAGTTTGATTCCCCATAGTTTAAATTCCAGGGTATTACTAATTAAGAGGTCTCTTGGTTTTTGGTACTGTTTCTCTCCCTCTATGTGTGAAACTTGCAAGCTGCTAATTGTGTTAGTACATTCTAAGACAGAGTCTGTTCTCAAAGCAATTCACAGAGAGAGAGAGACTCAAAGCAATACTCTAACAACAGAAACAACACCCAGAGACTCCCCACCCTTCTGTTGTATTAACAATTGTGATTAAAATAGAGATAGAGGATGTATGTGGATGGATGCTTGGTGTGGATAATAACTGAATGATCAGGGAGGTGCCAGCCTAAGAATCCAGTGTCCATCGGCTGAAGAAGGCGTCAAGTGGAAATAACCAGAGGACCCCCCGGAGGGCAGACTGGAATCCACCCAACAGCCTCAAGAATGGGAGAACCAAAGAACAAGATAACATCTTGGAGCCGTCAGGAATGTGCTATCTGCTGATTGATTCAGCAACAGCATGATGAAGCAATTCCCATAGACTGGCATAGGAAGAAATTCCTATAAAAATAGACTCTAAAAAGTGAGAACTTTGGGGGGGGGTCTGATTCTGCAAACCAACTTCCAGGAGCATCAGATGAGCATCTGACAAGGCCCTGCTCCCTCCTCATGTCCAGGCCACCTGGCCAGTGGCTTGGCATGAGCAACTCTAAGGCTGGTAACTATAACAACCTTGCAGAACCTGTGTGTGTGTGTGTGTGTGTGTGTGTGTGTGTGTGTTTGTATGAATGAATGTGTGAATAAATATGAGATTGAATGGAATGTTATAACTAGAACTAACTGCTTTCTATGATTCTTTCTGTATTCACAATAAATGTGGTATTTTGCCTTTTTCCCTTTAATAAGATCCTGCTGGTTTTTATTTTATTGGTACAACAGCCCCCTCCCACATGCAAACTCTGCTGCGGAGGGGTGGGGGCAACGGCCCAAGACTGCCCCAGCAGTGGCCAGTGCACCTGGCACAAGCAGGGGCTGTCTGAGTTGCCCCTGAGCCAGGTGCAGCAGGCGCTGCACAAGTCAGGGAAAGTCACGGAATCCATGACTTCCATGACCCCCTGTGACAAACTCGCAGCCTTATTTACAACTTTGTCAAACTTTAATTGTTTGGGCTGAAATTTTCCATGCCGGGTGTCTAGCTCAGACCGAATTATTTTGGAAAATTATTTTGGTAAGTGCCTGCCCAGAGCTCACCTCACCCCGTCTTGTGCCACAACCCCCTGTCCCCTCCCACACCCAGATTCCGCTGCTGCTGGGTGGGAGCGGGAGGGAAGAGAGAGGTGCAGAGCCAGGTAGGGAGCCTGCCGGCCCCAACGACCCCTCCCACCCAGCACCAGCGGGGGTCCCAGTCCACGTGCCACCACCTGGCCTCCCCCTCCCCCCCAAGCAGCTGGGCCGCCCTCTCCCAGCACCTGCCGAGGCCCCAGGCAACCCCCAAAATGGCTCAGCCATCTCCAAGAATGAAGCTACAGACAAATACATTGTTTTACCCATGCTACAAAACACTGATGACCTTTGCGTGAGATGTTCTAGCATCCCCCTGCTTTGGAGCAGGGACTTGGTCACTGAGAATAAATGAGGAACCAGGGCCACAGACTGGAAGACTGTGGAGATGGGGAATGTGGAAGCTAGAGGCAAGGCTGAGCAAAAGAGATAGACTGGAAGAGCAGTTGGGAGGGGAGAAAGTGGGACTGGCAGGGCAAGCAGACTTGCACTAGGAGTGGTGAAAGATTGGAACTGGTGGGGAGCAGACCAGAACTGATGCAAGAAGTCCATAGTGGGAGACTAGCGCTGGCTAAGCAAAGAGACTGGGATGAGAAGCCTGTGGATTGTAGTTGGGGACTGGCTAGGATGGAACAAGAACTGGGACAGGGTGGAAGGGGTTAAGCTTGGAGAAAATGAGCAAAACATTCTGTGCACACTAGAACACACTTTCCCCAAAGGCTGGAATGGAACCCAAGATTCCTGAGTCTCACCATTCTTCTACCGTCAACAAATATCTATGTAACCCTCCGGCAAAGCATCTTATCCCCCCCTTTAGCACTAGCCCACAGGCAGTGGGTTACAACTTACTACTGCCATCAGTTACTCCATTAGCTCAAGTAGCAGATGTCAGTGAGGCAGATCTAAAGGTTCCAACCCTTCTGACGAACCACATAGGTGTCAATATGATGCCACATGAAGGAATTTCTGTTTTCCAGTTTGTTTTTAAATCTAGGAATTTACACACACAAAACTATTTTAAAATTATTTATTAAGGCATCGAACTGCCTGAGCCATGAGACCCTTCTTTCTTTTCTTGCAATTCATTGTCGCACTCACTACAGACTTTCCAATTTCTGAAACAAATTAGGCAGGTGTCCTACAAACCCTGCCTGATTCATCTCCAAAGCAGGTCCACGCTGTGCTCTGAATGAGGCAGGGATCCTGTGGAAAGCATAGTATATGAATAGAAAGTCTCTAATTACATGATCACAACTTTGCTATGTGGATTATTATGGCCACAGTAGAATCAACACCAGAACCATGGCTTCCCATACTGACATATATCCACCCACCCCAAATTTGTCATAACTGGAGAATTCTTCAGAAGCTCCATCAAACTTGAGGGAACAAGGGTCCCCCAGTACAAGAAGATCTAAGTAATACACCAACATTCGGATTCAAATCCAGAAAAATCTTTTTGGGTTGCAGCACAAAAGCTCAAAGACTCCAGGTTTTTCACCCAAAGATCAAGGACCAGCAAGGTGGAAGGACGCTAACATCCTGAATAAAAGCTCATCAGGGACTCAGCCGAAGAACTCAATGGCTTTTCACTTCCATGGAAAATATGGTCCACTTTGAATTGCAGCCGCACATCCCTTCTCCATAAATGGGGACTAAGACATAATCCTATTTGTGGTTGCAGAAACAGACTTCAGACTATGGACTGATCAATCAATGTCCCAAATAATCAATTTGCCATTTACTCTGCATC